TAGACTAAAGACTAGCTGATCTTTTGGAATTCGTCAGACCTTCAGCGCCACATTGGGACTACTGAGACATCCAGCCTCAGTAGACTCAGTGGACTGAGCGACTATGGATTCTCAGCCTCTCCAGTGTGGTGCAGCCATTATTGGACTACTCAGACTCTATCCTTTGAGCTAAGCTGATAAATCTCTGTACATATATATTCATTCTACCAGTTCTGTTTCTTTGGAGAACCCTGACTAATACACTGTAGCAAGCAGAAATACCATTAGAGCAAAATATTTAAGGCAAATAGCTTTAATCACAGGTGCATTTGAGAGATTAAAAAAACTTACGATTTGTGGCAGTAATAGTATTCAAGAATTATATAAATATAGGCACAACTAAGCTCCGCTTTTGTTTATATAAACAAAATCTATTTTGTTAAGAATTTTAAAGGCTCTCTTTTATTCATGTCTTTAAATCTTAAGTCCTAAAGTCTAACCTGGGTACAGGCACAGAATCTTTCCAGCTTCTTTGTGAAATGGGTGCACAACTGAGACATTTGCAGTTGTGCTTTTATGCTTGAAGAGACTGAGGTACCAGAAAGAACATGATGGATGTTACATACTCTACTGTCCAGGGCCAGGCCAAAGAATACCTCAAAGACCAATGTCCATTTAGTCAACAGAATATAGCTCATAGGAATTGATGCCATTCTTCCCTGGAGAGGAGTCAGGAACTGGGAAGTGGTCTCCCATACCTTCCCACTACTACAGCACAGCCCTGCCAGTACTACAGCATTGATCTGTGTGTTTCTGTTTATTTCTGCTGCAAGATGAAGCATGAACAGCAAAGCAGACATTTGTTTTATTTTTCCCACTGTTATAAAAGTTATTACCAAGTCAGAAGAACACTGAACAACCACCACAACCAAGAATTCCATTTAGTCTCCACAAAGTCCCCTTCCTCATGGCTTCACCCATGCAGTTCCCAAGAATTATATATTTCAATACATGAGAGGGATGGCATTTCTTATGCTAAGAATTTATTTTGGTAGAAAACACAAATTTTGACTCACTTTGGGGTAGTTTTGCATCATATCACATAAACATCACACACACATACATATACATCTCATATATATTATTATATTATATAAATAATTTATTTTGGTAGAAAACACAAATTTTGACTCACTTTGGGGTAGTTTTACATCATATCACATAAACATCACACACATATACATCTCATACATATATATACATA